AGACAGCACAAAGAGATGGAGACCCCAGCTATGGTTGTGGCGTTTAAAACGGAGATGTTCTTTTCTTTAACATCTGTATTAATTTTTTAGAATACCCTTTTATTTATCCTTTGACAGTCCCATACATGTATCCTAAATCTCCATGATGCCCTCTGTGGTACCCCCTGGCCACTCTCCCTAGACTGTCCTCAATGTGTCCCCTCCCACCTCTGTGCCCTCCTCTGTCACTGCTGTCACCTACTGAGCCCGGTTAGCGCTGCCTGCTGGAATATTCGCTGTCCTTGTTGGCTTGGTGTTGTCTAGGCAACCATAGCTGCAGTGGGCACCTGAGTGCCACAGCCCCGTCATGTCCGGAAGAGAACATTTCTCAGTGCTCCTCCCCATCCACTGGCTCTTACATTCTTTCTGCCTCCTCTCCCAGGATGTTGCCTGGGCCTTGGGGATTGACGCCAATGCCTCATTCAGGGCTGAACACTCAACAGTCACTCGTTCTTGGCCCTTTGACCGGCTGTGAGTCTCTGCATGGCTGTCTACTGCAGAAACAGGTTTCTGTAGCCAAGGCTGAGAGCAACACTAATCTTTGAGTTTAAACATAAATACCAGAAGTCAGTTTGGCAGCATAGATACAAATGGGGACCTCTTTAAGCCTAGTCCTCCATTGTCATGAAGGTTTCAAGGTGCCAAATGCTTCTAAAAACCCCGTCCTACCCTCCCTATAGTCTAAGACCTTGCTTGCCCGTCTTCTCTCCTACCTTAGCTGTTATCCCAAGTCCTCACGAACTTAAGTCACTTCATGTCCCTGAAGAAGTGTGTTGTTACTTAAGACATAAAGGTTTTCTTTTGCCTGGCAGTGGCAGGGTTGTCATGGTGACAGAGTGAGGCAGCAGCAGGTTACACTGTAGCTATAATCAGGAAGCAAAGATAAACAGGAAGTAGGGCTCCACTAGAAGCCCTCAGGGCCCACCCAGAGTAACACACTTCCTCCAGCAAGGCTCCACCTCCTAAAGGCTCCATCTCCTAAAGGTTCCACCGCCCTCCCAAACAGTCCCGCCTTCTGGGTCCAAGTATTCAGTACACTGGTCTGTGGTAGACACTTCACGTTCAAACCACAACAACCAGTGTCTGAAAAGTGAGGCTAGCAAGAGCTGCTTAGCAACATGGTGAGCATTACATCCGACAGCAGGTACAGAAGTCTCCATCACAGCCCACAGGAAAAGCCACAGAGGCTGGGAAGGTGGCCCAGCATTTAAGGCACTTCCCATACAGGCATGAGGACCAGAGTTCAGCTCTCCAGGACGCGGGGAAATTCTGGGGGTGAATGGAAGCCCATCTGCAGTGAAAGCTCTCTGCGAATATGGGAGCCCCAGAGCAAGGCAGCCGTGCTAGCCATACCCAAGGCGTAGTTGAGAGGCCCCTGCCTCAGTGGCTAAGACTGAGAATGATTAAGAAGGACCCCTGACATCAAACTCCAGGCTTACACACCCACACACACATACACATGCACACATATACACACATATAAACATACAGCACATAAATATGCATGAAAAAAAGCCTAGAGAAGTCAGGAAGGGAATAAAAAAAAGAACAGACATGACCTGGAAGACCAGAAAATCATGTGGCCCTCTTGGCTTTGCCACTGTTGGTAAGCATACAGTCGGAATTATAAGGAAAATGCTATCTTACAAAGAGAAAGGCAAATACTATAACTGTCATAAAAGATCTGTGTTCATCAATGAGACTCAGCCTCTGTTGCGGGATATTTGATCACACTGTGAACCTCCAGATTACACTCCCCCTTCCCCCCCAGGGGGTACCTATTGACTATTCTGTTGCCCCCCACAGTTTAGTAGGTGCCTCTTTTGGGGGGAGTGATTCATCAACCACTGATGGCACCAAAACGAATGGAAAGTGGCAGCCTATAGACCAGGGGATGGCACAGCCAGTACTGAGGAGAGAACCACGAAATCAGTGCGGCACTTTTGGCAGTAAGACAAACGGCTAGGGAAGCGGCAGGAAAGTCTCCATCTTCTCCTGTCCACGGTGTGTGCAGTGGTGGAACCGTAAAGCCACTAACTGCAGATAAATGGCAGAGAGACCTGTCCTGGGAGATGGCATGACCTCGCAAAGCTTAGCAAAGCCTGTAGCTCATACAGGCAAGACAGACAAAGCGTCTGAAAATAATGAAATAGTAGATAAATTAGCATCATGTTTAATTAAGACTAGAGTATTAAAAATCTGCCAGGAGATGGATTCAGAATAAATCAGCAAGAATGATAGATTACACAACCAAAATACTTGAAAGTTTACCCCCTACCACTAAAAAATAATGGGAAATGGAGAACCAAATTAAACCAGTGTAACCCTATAAGAATAACCACTATAAGGGATCCATAGCCGGGTGGTGGCACACACCTTTAATCTTGGGAGGCAGAGGCAGACACATGAGAATTACAGTGATTTAAATTTAAAAGCTCTTTACAAAAGACAGACTAAAATTCAAAGTAAATGTCCTTTTATGACATAAAAATAAATACAATTGTGCAATTGTGTGTGTGTGTGTGTGTGAATGGTTGGATCCTCCAGCTCACTCCCGCTTGATCCAGAAAGCCCCATTCCTGTCTCTGTCTCCAATCTCCACCCACTCAGAGAGTCCCTGAACAAGGGAAAGGCACCAGAAAGCCTGGCTCCACATTCTTGGCAGCTAGTGAAGCTTCCACCCTGAAGCTGCCAGCCCGCCCAAAGTATTCAGCTTTTGACCATACTTGGGCACAAACCTAGCTTGTGGCAAACATATCATCACCCTCGCCTACAACCCTATGTAATCTCCCTGCTTGAGTTTGGGTGTGTGACTTCTCCAGCCTCGATCACTGGGACTGGAAAACCCGCCTGGGAGTTGCTTTGCTCAAATAAATCTGCTGCTATACTTTTTCATTTCATCTTGATCTGGCTTACTGTATCAGCAGAGAAACCTATTAGGGGACAGAAAACCTATCAATAGGTTTATTTATCCACATATACCAAGGTATATTTAGTTTCAAATTTTCAAAAAATTTTTAATTGAAAGATTATACTTCTGTTGCCAAAAACAATTTTGCCCTAGGAAAGATATAACCTGCCAAAGAAGGAACTCCCCCCAAAGTTAGGGTTGGGGCAGGGTTTTGCTTTTATCTTTCCATGAAAATAAAAGCATCCAACCAGAGACCACTGTACAAGTGAAACATCCAAAGAAATGGGACAGATCATCAAGAGAAAATGTCCCAAGAAAAAGAGCAAGTTGGCCAAGTGGTATCTCCCACCCCCTCCAGCTGACTGGCCTGAAACCCCAGACTAATACCAGCACCGATTCCACCATCTTGCCTGAGCAGCTGCCCCTTCCCGCTGGACAACCACCCAGTGCTCCACTCCAATCGTGGGCGTCTTTGGTTTGACTGCTGTATTCTACCTAGCTAGGATTGCCACTGAACTGACAAATACCACCCAAAGATAGCCTCGGATGACACACTGCTCAGGACATTTAAATTGCTGAGTTCCTATGAGACTGGCATGAACATTTCACAGAACTTTGAACTCAAAAATGCTTCATGCTAAGACCTGCCAAGTCAAGCACAACCAAGCTGGACATTGTGGGAAGCTTGGCACAAATAGCTGTATTGTTGTAAATAGTCTTACTGTATTAGAGTTCAAAATCTCCCCTTTCTATTTACACAGAAAGGGGGAGAAATGTTGCAGGATACTTGATCACACTGTGAACCCCGAGATTGTGTTATTTAGTGAAAAACCTGTTCCTAGTTGCGGCGTGCCTCAGTCCTAGCCCACACCTTTAACCCAAGAGAATTCTGCTGGAATGTTGTGAACAGGATTAAATAAAGTCAACCATAGGTCAAGAAACAGAGCAAACTACCAACTGACTGGGAAAAAAAAATCATAGAGAATAAGAGAGAATCAGGAAGATGAATAGAGAGGTGCACAGGAAGTAGAAGGGAGGGACATCTAGTTGCAGACGTTTTTTGGTTTTGATGGTATAGGAAAAAAGCTCTCTTTCTGGGACATCAGAGGAGGATGAAGCAGCGGGGTGCTTTCGCTGCCTCTCTGAGCTAACAGGTTTTCACCCCAGTATCTGGCTCCTGAGTCTTTATTAGAAAATCGACCCATTGAGATTTAGTTAAAAACAACAAAGGCCCTACCGTTGAGGAATGATGGACAATGAGCGGGGACAGAGACTGATCAGAGCTTGCAATCCCCTGTAGAACGAGGCGTCCCTATGAGCACTGTTGCCTACCCCTGAGAGAATCCAGGGCCAGTGTTAATACGCCTTCCTATTTCACAAGAAAAGCCAGGACTCTCATTTTTTATTTATTTATTTATTTATTTATTTATTTATTTATTTATTATGTATACAATATTCTGTCTGTGTGTGCCTGCAGGCCAGAAGAGGGCACCAGACCCCATTACAGATGGTTGTGAGCCACCATGTGGTTGCTGGGAATTGAACTCAGGACCTTTGGAAGAGCAGGCAATGCTCTTAACCTCTGAGCCATCTCTCCAGCCCTCTCATTTTTTTTTTAATGTGAAATCCCAGTTCTTAAATTTAGGCTTCATTATATTCAAACAAAACAAAGAAAAAGAAAAAAACACTACACAAGCCAAACCAAGCCCATCCATGGGCCAGAATCAGCGCGTGGTCTGGAGTGCACGGCCCTCACATCGGGAATGACACGGTTACATAAGGTAGTCTCCCTCCCTCGTGTCTAATTCTCCCCTCATGCTCTCCACCCTCTGTTCTCAGCCTTTGCTCCCAGCCACGCCCACCCATCCCTCGTTTTGGTCCAGGTCCACGTGGAAGGGATTGGTTGAGCTGAGGTTGCAATCAAGCCCAAGATGATGCTCACAAGCCCTACGCATGCCTTAGGCCGTTAGATGAGCGGCTTAGGTGCTCAGGTTGCATTCTTGGGCACACCCTGAGCTCACCAGAGAAACTGTCTGATTTGTCTCCACAGCCTTGCGAAGCCGCTCTGGCCGCTCCATCATCAACGGGAACTGGGCAATTGATCGCCCGGGGAAGTATGAGGGCGGAGGGACGATGTTCACCTACAAGCGACCCAATGAGATCTCCAGCACTGCTGGGGAGTCCTTTTTGGCTGAAGGTCCCACCAATGAGATCCTGGATGTCTATGTGAGTTTGAGTGTTTTGTGGGTGCTCTCTGGATTTGGGATCCTATGGCGTCCAAGAAACACACTGAACAAATAAACAACACGTCTTTGCCTGGGCTCGATAAAATCCCTTGAGTGAGGCCTGTTTGAGGGACCCCTTTCAGTGCTTGGCGTTGGTCTCTGACATTTACCCCTGAATGTACAAGACTCACAGAAACCATAAAGTCTACCAGGTGCTTTATTACCCTTGGAGTTTATGGACCCAGTAAAACCAATTTTACTTGTTGAACCAAATCAGAGGCGAACAAATACCATGTTTCATGAGCCCTGGAGTTCCTCCAGGCTCTTTCCTCTCAGCGCTAATTTGGCGTGTTCTCTTTTATGGCAAGAGAAAGAAAATTCTGAGGGCAAAGCGACCCACTCCAGGCCCAGCCTTCTCAACCCCATCAAGGCAAATGGAGAAGGACCACTCCCCGTGCCCCTGGATGAAACAGTGACGCTTCAGCTGCACTACAGTGCCCCGTTTCACATAGCCGGGGCTGCGGCTGCGGCTGCAGCTGCACCTCAGTGCCCCGCTTCACACACACGGGGCTGCAACTGCACCACAGTGCCCCGCTTCACACACACACACACACACACACACACACACACACACGGGGCTGCGGCTGCACCACAGGGCCCCGCTTCACATAGACAGCCTGTGATCACTTTGCTTGAAGCCAGAGTGTTAATATTAAATTGCCCAGGCGTTGTCTCTAATGGTCTTTTAAAAAGAAACTACTAGAGGGGCCTGGGGATCTCCCTCTGTCTATAAAATCCCTGTCTTGCAAGCATGAGAAACTGAGTTCCAGCCTCAGCACCCATATAAAAGATGGCTGTGGTGACACATGCCTGTCATCCCAGAACTGTGGAGGCAGAGACAGAAAGATCAATGGGGCTAGCTGGCCAGCCAGTCTTGCCTAATAGGTGAGCCACAGGTCGCAGTAGAAACCCTGTCTCAAGCAGCTCCTGAGTCGTGACACCCAAGGTCATGACACCCAAAGGTCAAGGTTGACCTCTGATCGCCACACGCACACATACACATGTGAGCACACACACATGAAGCCACTAGAATCCTGTCTTCTGAAAAGATGAGGAACTTAAAGGTGACAAGAAACAAAAGCTTAAAATAACTACACTAATGCCTACTCTTCCCAGGGCCATGCTGGTCTCTACCGTTTGCCTGTCAGGTTTTAGAAACAGTAACCACTGGGATTGCTTCTTCATCTCCACGGTTCTGGGCTGTTCCTCTGCAGGGGTAGAAGGCTAAACGTTACAAAAGATGCCTTGTTTTAGTTAACTTGGGGGGTTTGTGAGCCATCCACTTGGTTGGTTGGCTCTGGGTAAAATTGAATGGTATCAGAGGTGAAGGCTCTGCCAGCGAAGCCTCCTGTGGGTGGTCAGGGAAAGGTGGCCAACAATAACCCCATAAACAGCATAAGGACTTCCGTGGCCAAATCCAGAGTGTTTCCTCACACAGAAGAGGCACGGGAGAGGGCAGAAGGAGAAGCAGTATGTGCTGAGGGGATCGAAGGGGCTGGGGTAGACGGCGAGGATGGGCGGTCACACAGCTGTGTCCCTCAAGTGTCCAGTGCTCAGCGCCATATTTCTGTAATGCCAATGAGATGGTCTTGGCTTGTGTGAGGAGCCCAGTGTCTCTCACATCTGCCTGCCTCTGGGTGAGTGACGGGGGGAGCCTGTTCCCTAGTCGGGAGAAGGCAAGAGGTGGTAGCAGGAGAGAGATCTCCAGGGCTCCAGTGCAGGCATGACTCGGGGCTAATTGCGGGGCTAATTGCAGGGTAACCGACATCAATATCAGTCATTAGTCTCCTCTCTCGTCCCGATGAAGAAATTAAAAGTAGGAGTCCAGCGACTGTCTCTGGGCTGCACAACTGGTCACCAGAGCCACTCTACAGAGTAGAAATAGCAACAAGACGGTGTCCCCTTGCTTGGCTCCCACTTCTGGTGTAGATTTTAGTGCTATTGCTCCGATCTACCCATCACCCTGCCCTCTACCATAACAGCTGTGAATGCAGGAAGGCCTGGTAAGCAGGGATTAATTCTGTTGGCCTTCCTCACTTACCTTATGCCTCTGCTCCAGACCTCTGCAGCCCATGCAGCCTCCATGCTGGCCATCCTACTTACTTTTATTTTTTATTGTTTGTTTTTATCAATGTTTCCTCAAAGAATATGACTGAGGTAGACTTACATGTTTTTATATATGGGTTTTTTTTGTGTTTTGCTTTTTTGTTTGTTTGGTTGGTTGGGTTTTTTGGGGGGGGGGGTTGTTGTTATTGATATGTGTTTGTTTGCTTACTTGTTTGTTTGGTCTGGGTTTTGATTTTCCATTCCATTTCATTATAGTTCTGGGCTTTCCTATGTGTGAAGGTGAGTTGAGACTCAGGCAGTAGAGAAGACTGAGGACTGGGGCAGACATTGAGCCAGCCAGCCTCCCTGGCCTAGAGGACGTTAAAGGACCCTTGATGTTCTAGGGTCATGGCCAGGAAAGCTGGTCTTCGTCTGCCTGACTCTGTGTCATCACCTGGTGCTCAGTCGGGCTCCTCTGCAGTGTAGACATCTTGGGACAGTTAGAGGCCACAGATCCAAGCCCTGGCTGAGGATGGCTGCCAGCTACAGATTCTCCTACTGGAGACCCTGCCCTATTTGGGCTTTATAAAACCTTAACTTTTATCTTGATAAAATCTTGACCGTTCACCCACTTTTCTTCTGATTCATGAACACACGAAGTCTTGGATTCTTCGAACACAGCCCCCAGGAAGCCACTGGAAGTGACTTTATCTAACATGCCGTGGGGTTACTACTGTAACTAGATAAGAGATTACACATTTAGCTGCGGTACCACTTCCGTTATTGAGACCCAAGCCAGCAGGAAATTGGGGTGTGTGGGGACTGTGGTGACTTTGATTTTTGTGTTCTCAGATGATACACCAGCAGCCCAACCCAGGAGTCCACTACGAATACGTGATCATGGGGAACAATGCCATCAGCCCGCAGGTGCCACCCCACAGAAGACCAGGTAAAGTCCTTGCTTCGCCATCAAGTCACTTTCTCTTAACGCTCTCTCTCTCTCTCTCTCTCTCTCTCTCTCTCTCTCACACACACACACACACACACACACACACACACACACACGTCTTTATCCTCTGTGTCCTGAACAATGCAGAGAAACCCCGTGGACACATGTTTCAGGTTAGTGGACTTGGAATCAGAACATGCTTCACATATGTGTCTCCCTGATAGGATATTCCTTTCACTGGATCCTAAGCCAGAGTTCGACATCCCGATCCCACGACTGGGATGATTACATTGGCTGCTCTTGCTGCTGGAGCAGTGACCTTCTAGCCAGGATCTTAGAATAAGATGCAGGTAGTTGTCTTACAGTGCTGAAGGCCAGAGGTCTCCAGTTTCAGCTTCTAGAAGCCTCAGCCTCTGTGGCCTGTGATTCCTTCCTCCACCTCCAAAGTCAACACAGTACCCCCTTCAGGTCTCACTCCCACTGGGCTCTGTCCACTGTTCCATCTCATCTGATTCTCAGGCACCCGCTTCTGTCCTGTGTAAGGACCCCTGAGACTACCTCAGGCCTTGGTACTCCGTGCCTTCTACCCACCTAACACTGTTCTAAAAAGAGCATCAGGGCTTAAACACAGTAAGGGAAGGACCAGAGTTCAGATCTCCAGAACCAACTTAATTGCCAGGTGGCCATGGCAACCCACCTGCAGTCCCAGCACTCAGAAGGCGGGGACAGAATCACCAGAGCAGACAGACCGGCTAGATTGGTTCCAAAAGTGAGCTCTGGGTTCCGCTGAGAGACCTTGCCCTGAATACGGCAGAGAGCAATCAAGGAAGACTCTTGATTTTAACCTCAGGCCTCCACATGCGTGTGCACATGCACTCCTACCCTTGTGCGTTTACATACATGTAAACACATGTATACATATGTACACATACATACACAAAGAGAAAAAAGTAATGATAACAAATTAAAGCAAAACAAAGGAAAAGCATCAGCCTTCAACTCCGTTTTCCTCCCAGAGGGACTCTCGCTTAACAGTGCAATGAATTCTGCCCTGCCCTTTCCTGTTCAAATACAGTCTGTCTGCAGATAATTTGGGCATTTATCTACATATCCAATATCATTGTTTTTAATTAGTCAGCTAAACCCAGCCAGAAAGGCTATACACATGTACACAGGCATAAAGAAAGGCTCTGGATCTAGGATGGGCTAAAGCACCACCAGGACACCCCCACCGTCTCTCTGCCCTCACTCCACTGAGGCGCTCATAGGAGGAGAGATTGAAAGGATGAGATTGGAAGCCGACCTTCAATCTCACCTCAGATGTGGTCTGCTCCAAGGACATTGTGTGGTGCCTGTCCGGGTCCTTGGTGCTCGGACAATACAAAGCCTCGGGCCCTGCCCGGGCTTTCAGATGTCTCTGTCTGAAATGGCCCTCTCCATCGTTCCCTTGCCTTTTCAACTCCATGTCCTAAGGAAGCTCATCCCTGTACTGTCTGCCTCTCCCAGGAGAACCGTTCAATGGGCAGTTGGAAGCAGAAGACAGACGCCTGGAGGACAGAGACGACCGGGACAAGAACCAGGAGAAGGAAGACTCACATGCCGAGGCCCCTGAGGTACTGACTTCGGCATCCTCACACACGCAGACTTTCCCCGTCAGGCATCCTGACAGATTCCCTGCCCACCGACCAGACAACTTGGTGCCACCAGCACCGCAGCCCCCCAGGAGAAGCCGGGACTACAACTGGAAGCAGCTGGGGACAACAGAATGCTCCGCCACCTGTGGGAAAGGTAAGCCTGGGCAGAAAACCCAAGTAAGGAAGGTAAGGGAGGGCCCAGCCAATGGGGGCACCCCTCAGCACATAAACCACCTGCGAGATGGCTTGCGCATCTGCTTACAGTGTTAGAGGTTCCCAAGATGAGCCGCAGACCCATACAAATTCGGGAAATCTGTGCTCACACCCTGTTGGTCATAGTGAAGGAACACAGATTTGAGCAAGTGGGCACGTGGGCCAACTCCAGGAGAGACCGGCCTTCAGGTGACCCCTTCCAGCAGAGCCACCCAGAATCCCCCAGCAATGGCATGTGACAGTTGGTGTGGAATACTGCCTGCCGGGGATGTTCACCCACGCTTTGGTGTGCAGATGCTTCCAAGCATTCCACAGGCCTCACTCTAGCACCCCAGAGGCCACACTGAACCAGAAAACCAGGGCATCGAGCACACAGAAACATTCACCGTCACACCAGGGCCTTCATGGTTATGATGCATAGAAAACACCCAGGCAATGAAGGAGACACACACACCCTCCCCGCACAGTGGGGACTTCCTCCTGGACCCCAGATTAGGCACAAACCACACCCAAACACCTGTTTTCACAGAGATCCTTTATTAAGCAGGGTAGAAAAGTTAACATGGCTGCTTTCTGACTCAGGCAGAGAAATAGCAGCAAAGACCTTGCAGGTGTGATTTTTAAGAAGAGAGAAAGGGAAGGTGCGTGGTAGAATGGGCTAGGATGCAGTGATGTATTTTAATTGGGCATGTTAATTAGGTGAACCAAAGGGGGCTATGGTTGCTGGACTTTAATACTTTGATAGCTGGACTTTGGTAGTCAGCCTCAGGAGACAGAAGTAGCCAAATAAGGAATAGACCTTGGGGGTTAGCTTTAGGAATGTAATGTAAGGGTTTTCAGCAAGGCAGAGGGAATGGGGGAGAAAGGCTAGTGTCCCTCTGGGCAGAGTGTTGCCATGCTCCAAGGTTGTGTCCTGGAAGCTACTCAACAAAGACAGGCAGTTAAAAACAAAACAACAACCACAGCAAAATCCATAGCATTTGAGCAACACGGACCTGCTGAGCTGAGCTTTCCCTGTGCTGGGAAGCACAATCAGAGAACATGCCCATATACTTCAGGGTCTGGAAGTTGATAAATTAACTTTATAGGTGGCTGATGTGAGTGCCATCCTCAACTCTAAAGATTTCAGGGGGAAACAACATATCTGGGGGCTTAGGTTTCCCTCGTCAGCCTTTATCTTCATCTTCTCCTTTCGTATTTTCCTGATGAAAAATTGAATTTCAAGTTCATCCAGTGTCCTAACCCAGTCAGCTAGGACCACCAAGGAAAACCCCTAGCCTAACAATGCCATCTTTATTACCTGTTGTAATAAAGAAGCCCACATACTGTAGCCTCTCTCCAAGCGAAAGGGAGATAGGACTATAGGGCTGAGGAGAAAGGCAGAGTTTCAGTGACGAGGCTCAAAGCAGAACACAGCTGCAGTTTTATACAAAGGGTGACGTGTGAAGGGGTCCACATCACGTCTAGACTGTAACACAGATGCAGGGTCCTTTCCGCGGGGACTCCAGTCAGGATAGGTGAGAAATCCCTGTGTGGCTGTCAGGCTCCTGGGACTGGAAACTGACTCTGACTCTTTCGAGGAGACCTGAGGTCCCCCTTGCAGGAAACATCCATGTTATAGTGTTGTGCCCAGGTCACGGAGACCCCAAGAAGACCACCAGAGACACAGACTCACCGAAATGCAAAACTAAGGTTTAATCATGCGGTACAAACTGTGGTGGGCACCTTGTCTCACAGTGGGGGCTAGGGGAGGTGCCCCACCTTTTTTAGTCAGGGTTTAAAAGGCAAAACCCCACAAATCTACAGTCATGGCCATAAAGGGTACGGTGACTCTCTGATTGGCTCCAGTCTAGGGGACTTTGCACTTTGCTGATATCCACCTTGAGCAGCTGGGCTGCAGTCTAGGGGATTTCCCACTTCACGGATATCTACCTTGGGGCCAAAATGGAGTTGGCTTTGTCCCTTCAATAGGACCACCCATGTTCTACATAATTATGGGCTGCTCCCTATACAGGATGAGGGCATCTTACTCTGTTGTCTCCCACCCCCAGAGTTTTCTAAAACCTGGAAGACTGTGTGATTCACCCCGGACATTAATTTGGCAGTTTGTTGTTGTTTTCTCTCAAGAGACTTGAATCTGGGCTGGGAAGATGGTTCCACATGAAGACCTGAGTTCAAATCCTAATAGCCAAGTAAAGTTGGCTATGTAGCATGAGTATAATCCACCTCAGCACCCCTCAGTTCAAGGCCAGCCTGGTCTACGAGAGATAGTTCCAGGACAGGCTTCAAAGCTACAGAGAAACCTTGTCTCAAAAAACAAACAAACATAAAAAGTTCCAGAGACTCCCAAACTAGCTAGCCTGGCCTACACAGCAGAAAACAACAAAGAAAGCCTATCTGAAACAAGGTAGAACAATACCCCAGGTTACCCCCTGACATTCGTACGTGTGAATACACACACACACACAGAGAGAGAGGGAGAGAGTTGTGGAGCTGAGGGTATGAGCTCTGCAAGTTTGATAATTAGCACACGTGCACACATAAAGATACACAAACACATCCATACACACAAACAAACACAAAAGGCTTCGACAGCTGCTTCTGTCTTTTTCATAGGAGCACTGGCCTAGTGGCTTTGGGGACTAGGATTTAGGTCTTTGGTTCCTTGTGGGTGCACAGGGGGTAGGGTAGGGGCAGGAGTTCTTTATGCTCAAAGCCTTGATGGTTTCACTGTGGTTCCACCTGCTGACTGGAGAATTGATGCATGAGCTCTTACTGCACACGTTGTGTTGTGCTCAGACCACATGAGCAGAGAGTGCGGCCTGAAGACGGACTGAGCTGGCTTCTGTTTTAGGTTTGTGAGGGGAAACGAGATGCCTGAAGACTGTGTCTTAACAGAGTCAGAGAGCTAGAGATAATTCTGCCAAAAGGTCAAAATCATTTTAATAAGATTTTGTCCAAGGCATTATAGAGATAAGCATGGTGTCTCAGCATTGACAAAGGAACCTGAGACCCAAATGGACTATTTTCCAACTTTTCTCCCACTTATGAATTGGTGCGGAGCCCAGATAGCTCAGATGAAAACTGTCCCTGTGTGATTTGCAATCCAGAATGACGTGTGTAGGAGATTCTTTCCCACCCTGTCCAGGGACTACACAATATTGATTTGTGAGTGTTGTTAGCAAGAACAGAGTGTGTAACCCTGCCACTGTTCCCTGGGTGGGTGCTCCCGGCCCATCGAGGTGGTCACTCCCTCTCTGTTCTGTAATAGACAGGATGGAGGAACCTCCTGTGGCCAGGGACTGCAAGTGACCAAAGGTAGCTATGAATGCAGCCGGACACCAAAGTTGTAAACTTATTTTAAATAAAACAAAAAGAAAAATTTTTTGAACTTGATTGTGAGGCTCTTGAGCAGGAACTTTGTAGATGGCAATGCTGTGACAGAGTAGCAGAAGGTTGGAGATGCGGACTGAAGGGAGCGAGGGAGACGCTCACCCACTCCTGCTGATTGTCACGTTGGAGAAGAAGAGAAAGTCCGTGTCCACTTATGCTTTTTCTTCAAGGCTCCTCTTCAGAATCTTTCTGGCTTCAGAGCCACGGTAGGGACACACCGGAACGCTGTGCTCCACAAGAGTGATGGCAGCAGACATGCAGGCCATGGCAGTGCACAAAGCGTGGAGCTAAACTCAGTCCTCAGCACCAATGACGAGTGTGCTGGCCCTGTGTCCTCCTCTGCTACCAAACCCCAGCCCCTGCCCTTGAGAGAGCATCATCTGCTCCTCACAGCCCCCTCCCAGAGCCCCCCATCCTCCCTGGTGAAGTGGTCCACACCTGGGCTTCTCACATGTCCAGCTACCATTTCGGCAGCCTCATACCACCCAAGACTTCCTTCTCTCAGGAAGGTGCCCAGGAGTGGCCCTTGATCACTGTGGTCATCAGCACGATGCCCAGACCTCTGCCTGTCTCTTGGCTTGGCTCTGTTAGTTCTTGTATTTCCAAGTCTGGAGTTAGTCAATTATTTTCTTGATGCTTCTTTTGCCTAACTCTCAAGTGAGTGTGTCTCACAGACCTCAACACTGCTCCCCAAGTTCTGCTTCCTCTTCCAGTAAATCATGCTTCTGTTTTGATCAGTATGCCCGTGCACAAGCGAGGACAACCAATCTTGGGTCCATCCTGCCACCCAGCCAGCACCTGCCCCACCCCTCTGCCCCTGTTTGTTAGCAATCGAAGGAATCACTGCAGCTCAGTCTTGAACAATAGGACTCCAGATGACATGCCAAGTGACAGTATCCCCTTCTGCAGATACTAAAGCGAACCCAAAGAAAGAAACATTGCAGTCACCAGAAGCAAGAGTTATAAAGCTGATATTTTTCTCAGTGCCAGAGAGACAAAGAGCCTCTGATTTCATTTATTTGGTACCTTTCCATGGAGCTGGACCACGGACAATGGGCAATGCATGTAAAAGCGGTCAAATGGGAGGGGAGGCAAGCGGTGGCCATCTGCCAGACAACCCCAAGCAAGATCCATCTTTCCAGGCACAGCATTCCTACGGTATCTTGTATCGTTTGGGCTGAATGTCTTAGGTTTCCCCTCTATGAGTGCCAAGCAGTTGGGGTGCCTCACCTCTGTTTTTCAATCCACAGAGCTGTAAGTGGAAAAGTTATAGCCGCACGGTCTGGAGGGAAAGGAACCGACAAGCTAAAACCTTTACTTAATCCCCTAAGAGCTGATTTCAAATGTGCAGGCTGTGGACCGAGTCTTACTCAACTTTGTGATTTAGCACAGTGTGCTTAATGTGGATTTAATTTAATTTAAAAAAAAAAAAAAGTCTCCTAAGGCTGGAGAGATGACTCGGCAGTTAAGAACACTCTTCTTTCTGGGGCTCCAGGTTCAATTTCCAGCATCCACATGGCTGCTGACAACTGTCAGCAACTCCAGTTCCAGGGGATCTGACACTGTCTTCTAGGCCTCTGTGGCCACTGCACAAATGTGGTGCATAGATAGACATGCAGCCAAAAGACCCACATAAATCAAAATTTTAAAATAGAATATATACTATATAATGGATGTAGGCATGTTGCAGGAAAACATTTAATACCAAAAAAGTCTTTGTTTGCTATTAATTTTACAGTCTCAACTGCTTTGAATTCAGCTGATACCTGGACTTAATTGGAACATTTTGAATAGCGATCTTGAGTTATAGCCATAAGTACATCTTTACTGCCATGGTAATTTCGATAACCATTATCTCAGATTCAAAACTCGCCTACAAATTGCCATGTTTCTTACACAAACTACCCTCTGGCTCAGGGTGTCACACAGGGTCAGCTTGAAGGATCCCTGATCACATCCGTGACTGATGACATTGAGGTACCTACATTAAAACGTTGTGGCCGGGCATTCAGCCATCTCTTACTCTCGATCATTGAGCAGCCCTGTGTGTGTGCATGCTCTGCCGGTCCTTACGAAGGGATGACAGAGAGTGGCCTCTCCTTGTGGGCATAAGCAAAGTATCTAGGAGGCAGCTTGATGGTCTGTCACCTTGGCGGTGACACTGGGAACAGAAGTAAGTTGTCCTAGAGTCCAACACCTATGAGCAGTGGTTTTAAACTGGATTTATAGAGTACCGGGCATGGATTCCCTGTGTGGAGTGGGTGATAATAGGGGCGGAGGAGTGAGAGTGGAAGCAGTCAGAATGCTCTATGTGTGCTTATAAAATAATCAAAGAACAATTTAAAATGTTTTAAAAGACACTATAAAAGAAAAAAGTTAGCCTTCATGATGCAATTAAAATTATAGTGAGTTACAGTTCTTTAAAAATATCTGACCATTTAGAGGCACAAATAGGCATGGTTTTTTAAATGAATTAGAGTTGTATGCTAGCCTAGTTTGTAAATGATTAGTGTTGTATGTCAGCCTGGTTTGTAGGGCCAACAATTACTCCCACTTCATAAAGGCACCAGCAATACTCAAATTCGGCCAGCAGGTGGCAGAAGAGAAAGACAAAATTGAATTAAGACAGAAATTACCCATAACTGGCTTTTTATAGAAAATAGTCCTTATTAAGGTAATGAAGTTACTCTATGTATTCAAAACAAAAACATAAAGCAGTTACTAGTTTTCCAAAAAAAAAAAAAGTACTAAAAGCTTAGGTCTCTGTTAGGCACTGGGTTCCGGAGGTGAACCAGGGCTGCGCTGAGAAGCAGGGCCTCCTGGGAAGTAGACAGATGCTGAGAAGACCAAGACCCTGGATCAAGAAACTGAGAGGATTGCATGAAATGTGTTTCAAATCAGGAAGGCAGCTGCTCTTCTGTAATGCTCACATCTCCTCTGCTTCAACCTCTTGGATGCTTATGCTCCTAGCTGGCAGGCCACACTAATACAGGGGACAGCCCCCTTCCCTTGCACATGCGCACAGACACACCCAGGCCTGGCCATCTCTATTCACAGCTAGACCCTCTGCAGCATTTGCCCTCTGACACCTGTGTTTCTGTCTGTGCCCATTGACTAGGGAGCTCTTTTACTGTCTCTGTGGGTGCATGTGTGTATACATACATGTATGTCCATGTGTATATGCACATGTACGTGAGTTCATGGGTAACCAGGTGCATATGAGTGTGTATGTGTGTGGGTATCAGAGGACAACCTCGGCTGTCATCCTTCTGGAAGGCCGTCCTTGTATTTGATAGAAGACCTCTTGTTGGGACTGGGGCTCACTAATTAGGCTAGGTGTTTGGTCATCCAGCTCCAGGAATCCACCTGTCTCCACCTCCCCAACAGTAGGATTCTAAGCAAGTACCTCTATGTCTGGTTTTCTGATAGGCACTGGGAATCTAACATGGGTCCTTGTACAAGGGCTTAATTTTTTTTTAATTTTTTTACAAGGGCTTACTTGCCTGAGCCACTTTCCCAAACACATCTCATATAACTTGAACAACTATAAACATTTTTTAGCTTCCTTTTATAAATAGATTGTAAGCTCCTTGTGGACAAAAAATACCCCCTCGTATGTGTGTATGTGTGTCCTTTGCACACTCAACAGCCCCCAGCAGAGCCTTGTGGGTATGTCTATATAAACAACAAGATGAAGGGATATGGGACTTGAACTCGCTAGTCCTGTACCCTCCCTTCATCAGTATCCAAATGCCTATGCATCTTCACCAGGAGCTTGCATCCCAGGGTCTGAGCTGGCCTTGGGCATCTTCACCGCGGGCTAGCGTCCCAGGGTGTGAGCTGGCCTTGGGCATCTTCACCATGGGCTAGCATCCCAGTGTGAGCTGACCTCCAGCATCTTCACCAGGGGCTAGCATCCCAGGGTGTGAGCTGGCCTCCAGGCATCTTCACCAGGGGCTTGCATCCCAGGGTGTGAGCTGGCCTCTTCAGCAACTTCCTTCTCTTTACAGGATCACAGTACCCGATCTTCCGCTGTGTGCACAGAAACACACATGAGGAGGTTCCCGAGAGCTACTGCGACTCCAGCATGAAGCCAACCCCAGAGGAGGAACCCTGCAACCTCTTCCCCTGCCCAGCCTTGTAAGAGCCCTCTCTGGCTAGGTCACCTTTTCTCAGGTCACTTCGGGTTGATGGGCATAAAATCTCTGTAGCAGATACAGTTGAGTTTTTAACCCATGTCAGGAACTGTGTCCAGGGTCCAGACCATTTAGTGGGCCTGCCCGTGTTTCTGGAAAACTGGGGAGTTGATGGTCTGTAGCAGGCATCAGGCTTAGCCAGGAATCCCATCAGGAAAACAAGGGAGGCCATAGGAATGAGAACCCAGTGAGGCAGCTCATAAGTGAGCTGCATATACAGACAGATGGAACCAGATCTGCCCAGAAGAGTCAGGAAGCATGCCGGGAGAGCAGGCTATTGAGTGATAAATAGACCGTCTTAGATGGATTGGGACAGGTCCCAAAAGGTCAAAGCTTGATCCTTGGAGTAAAGAAAAATATAATTTTTATCCAGATATGTGCTAAACACTTGATTGTGTCTCATTCAGTAACTGTCAAGATTAGGGCATGGAACCTGGCTGTGGTGGCGTGCGCCTTTAATCCCAGCACTGGGGAGGCAGAGGCAGGTAGATCTCTGTGAGTTCAAGGCCAGCCTGATCTGCAGAGCTAGTTTCAGGACAGCTAAGGGTACACAGAGAAACCCTGTCAAAAGGAGAAGGAGGAAAAGGAGGAGGAGGAGGAGGAGGAGGAGGAGGAGGAGGAGGAGGAGGAGGAGGAGGAAGAAGAAGAAGAAGAAGAAGAAGAAGAAGAAGAAGAAGAAGAAGAAGAAGAAGAAGAAGAAGAAGAAGAAGAAGAAGAAGAAGAAGAAGAAGAAGAAGAAGAAGAAGAAAGAGATTAGGACATGGAAATAGTGGACATCAGAGAATGCCTAGGTGACATCTCTTAGCTCCCAGGAGGGTTAGTGTTATAGGGAAATTAAGCCAATCTGGGGGTCATTGGGAGAGTCTGCTTTGATCACCAAATAGAAATCGTCTGTACCCTCTCACTCTTTCTATAACTGTGTACAGAATCTGGGCGATCTAGTCACAGTAATAGCGTGTCCTACAGGCTCCCCTACAGTCACATGACCTTTAGGCCCTGCTCTGGGGAGTGGTCCCGGTGATTTTTGCTCTGTATTCCTGTTAACCAATCTTCTCCCCCTTTCCCCTCCCCCCCTCATCCATCCCGTGAGCCAGCTGGGACATCGGGGAGTGGTCTGAGTGCAGCAAAACCTGCGGCCTGGGCATGCAACACCGCCAGGTTCTGTGCCGCCAGGTGTATGCCAACCGCAGCCTGACAGTACAGCCCTACCGCTGCCAGCACCTAGAGAAACCTGAGACCACCAGCACCTGCCAGCTCAAGATCTGCAGCGAGTGGCAGATTCGGACCGACTGGACCTCGGTATGGGACCTCCCTCCCTCCGATACCCACTGCCCCTCTCCGGCCTCCCCCGCTAGGACCCGTGACGGGTAGGGTGGGGAGTGTTTGCTGGAAAGCCTGATTGCCGACACATGTCGTGCCAACGGCTCAGCAGAGTTCAGGCTGGTGTACATGGTCTATATCCAGTCTCGCGACTGAGCCTATGTGAGTCTTGTACTTCCCCGGCCCTGCGCCTCCCATGGATGAAGAGAAGGCTAGCAACCACTAATAGAGCCAGCACCTTGTAGTGTTGTGCATCCCTCCTGGCGATGGAAAGGCTGGGCCCTGAGCAGGCCAGTAAGCAAGATGCCACCCAAAAGGTCCTCATAGCTTTCCATGATCATTACCTCCCGGGGGAATTACAGGCTTTGCAGGGGACGCAACAACGGGGTCCTGAGGGTCAGGTGACAAAGAATGAGGACGCAAAACCAAAGCCTGCTGTGTTTTAGTGCTCGGTGCCCTGTGGCGTGGGGCAGCGGACCCGCGACGTGAAGTGCGTGAGCAACATCGGGGATGTGGTGGATGACGAGGAGTGCAACATGAAGCTCCGACCGAATGACATCGAGAACTGTGACGTGGGGCCCTGCGCTAAGAGCTGGTTCCTTACAGAATGGAGTGACAGGGTGAGTGTGCCCCCGACAGGGATCAGCTGTGTCACAGGAACTCCCGAAGCCACTCAGAGGCACGCTGGTCGCTCAGAATCCCAAAGTTGATTCCTCCCCCAGGGAGGTGTCTATAACGTCTAAATTGTCCTCATAGGATTGCATTGGCGAAGTTAGCCCTGGGAAACCCAAGAGTTTGTTGGGCTTTCTAACAGAGCATGGGCAAGGGATTTCCTGCAGGAGGGCAGGAGATGGCAGCACAGCAGCATTGGAGTGCTGCATGGCAGCTTCCCCATAGCTGCATAGATGGACCCATGGATGCATAGATGGACCCCATGGTTGCATAGACGGACCCCATAGCTGCATAGATGGACCCCATAGCTGCGTAGACGGACCCCATAGCTGCATAGATGGACCCCATAGCTGCATGGCGGCTTCCCCATAGCTGCATAGACGGACCCCATAGCTGCACAACCCCTTTGGTTACTATCTTAGTCACGGTTTTATTGCTGTGAAGAGATACCATGACCACAACAACTTTTATAAAAGATAGCATTTAGTTGGGACTTGCTTACAGTTTCAGAGGTTTAGTCCATTGTCATCATGGCAGGTGCAGGCAGGCAGGATTCTGGAGAAGTTAAGAGTTCTGCCTCCAGATCAGGATCCACAGGCAGCAGGAAGACAAGACGTTGCCAGAGCCTAGCCAGTAGGGAAAACTCAAAGGCAAATACAGATGATCCACTCTGACCACTACTGTATGCAAGAGAGGCCAGCAGCCGATGGGCTTCGTCTATCAGGGACAAAACTAGACTTCTATGGAAGGGGACGCTGAGGATAGGCAGGAAACAGAGTCACACGGTAAGGCAAAGCACAGAAGAGATGGAGAGGACGCTTGAGATGAGCGCTCTTGCATTATTTACCCTGATCTTAAAAATAAAGAAAAAAAAGGTAGGGGCTAAGAAGATGGCTCAGGGGGTAAAGTGATCGCCGCTCAAGCATGAGGCCCTGAGTTCAGATCCCAGCACACACATAAAAGTCACACATAATGGAATCTGTAATACTGGCTCAGGAGAGGCAGAGTTCACTGGCCGGCCAGCCTGTCTGAACCCGTGAGCTCCAGGTTCAGTGAGAGACCTTGACTGAAAAAATCAGGTGTAAAACCGGACATGACGGTGCAAACCTTTAATCCCGGCATGCAGGAGGGAGAAGCAGGCAGATCTCTGTGAGTTCAAGGATAACCTGTTCTGTATGGTAAAGTTCAGGATGGCCAGGATTACGTAATAAGACCCTGTCTCGCAAAATAAGATAAATGAATAATAAAAACAGGGTGGAGAGCAGCAGATGGAAGCCACCCAGTGTTGAATAGTTATGAGAGCCGCACACAGAACTATTGCTGTCATGAGAAGGCGACTCTCCCCGGGACATTGCTTGGGTGTCCTTGCGTGTCTGTTTCGTCAGCCCCAAGTGTGATTAGGGTTCTGTCTCTTTTCTGCCAACCCCAGCAGATGTGGCCTGTGTTTCAGGAACATGTCTAGGAGACTGAGAACAGATCTGTGCAGCTTAGTCCCTGCTGTGTGAGGGTACCCCCATCTTCCCTCATATCTGCTGGCAGACTTCCTAGGCCTGGGAAATCCCCTTCAGGTCTACATCCACCATGCCTTCCCAGCCGCTAATGTAATAAAGAGAAGTTCCTTCTTCAGGCCCATTGTCCGGGTCCTCTCACTGGGCCCTGGCTCCATCTTTGATGGACTAAGCACCTGGGGGATTTGGAGAGCCCGCCGGCCCCAGGGGCATGTAAATGTGGAAAGCAGATGAAGTCTGTCAGGTGGAAATGTGTATGTTTTGTGCGGGGAGAAATGTTTGGAAAAGTTGAGACAGAGATAAATGACATTCAGGTTACTTTTGAAGGTTTGTTTTATTGTTGTTATTATTATTATTAATCTGTGTTTGTGTTTATGTGTATGTATATGGATGTCGTGTATTCGAGTGACCACAGGTGACGGAAGAGGCTATCAGAGCCCATGAATGTAGAATTCCATTCAGCTGTGATATGTTCAGTGCAGGTGCTGGGAACAAACCTGGGTCCTCTGCAAAAGAAGCAAGCAGTTGGGCTTTTTTTTTTTTTTTTGGTGGCGGGAGCAGGTTGTTAGTTTGGTTTTTGTTTTTATTTGTTTGATTTGTTTTGTTTTGTTTTAGGTGTTTTGATGCAGTGTCTCACTATGCAACCCAGGCTGGCCTAGAACTCACTGTGTAGACCAGGCTTGCCTCAAATTCACAGAGATCTCCTGCCTCTACCTCCCAAGTGTTGGGATTAAAAATTTGTCCCGCCACGCCCAGCTAGCAAGCACCAGTACCTGCTGAGCCATCTCTCCAGTGCCCTTGAGTTGCTTTTTATTCTTTACAAGAGATTTTTAAGCACCTTGAGTTGCACAGTTGTGAACTTAAAAACACAAGGCTAGGACAAAAATGTCTCCAGTTACTGTAACAAGGGCTTCTTTTTAACCCAAGGAGCTAATTCATCGTCTCAGATTTCTCACAGAGCTACCAACAGAGCTGAAGTCATAAAGACAATGTGTGACCCTGGGGGGGGGGGGGATGGGGCAGGACACTCCCTCCGCCATTAGGTTCTCTAGCTTCAGCCTGTGATTGAACTAACAAACTGTTAGCTAGAACAGTGGTTCTCAGCCTTCCTAATGCTGTGACCCCTTAATACACTTCCTCATGTTGTGGTAGCCCCCAAACATTAAGGTATTTTTCTTGCTATTTCATAATTGTAATTTTGCTACTGTTATAAATATCTGTGTTTTCCACTGGTCTTAGGCAACCCCTGTGAAAGGGTCATTCAACCCAATGGGATCTCAACCCACAAGTTGAGAACTGCTGAACTGTAGAGAGAGAGATTTTAATTTGATGTTGATATTTATTTTGTGGCAAAGGGAACTTCATAGGAAAGAAGTAAGGCTGCAAAAAAAGGAGCTTGTCTGGAGGGTTTGTGTCCGCTCTAGCAAGGAGGACAAATACGAAGAAGTTACTAGATGAGAGAAAGGGGTTGGCCATGAAGGGATGGTGAGGACAGGAGAGTGGCAAAGGCCTGAGAAGTGACAGCTGTTTAGTCAGTCAGCTCACAGTCAACTCCCCACCTCCGCTGGCAGGAATCCTCTCTTCTCTCCAGAAAAGCCTGGCATTAGAGGGATGGATCCCTGGAGTTCATTGGTCAGCCAGTGTAGCTAAACTGGTTCACTTTGGGTTCAGTGAGCCTCCCTGACTCAAAAAATAAAGTGGAAAGCAATTGAGGAAGACACCCACCATGAACTCCCGGTCCCCGTCTACACACACAGACATACAAACCCCCCAGAACCATGTGAAAGACGGACACGGTAGCACGCACCTATATCCCAGTACCTCTCTGTTGAGATAGGAGACAGAGACAGAGGAATCCCCAGAGCCTTGCAGGCCGGTCAGCCTGGACTACCCAGAGTGAACAGCAAGATACCCTGCCTCAAAGTAGAATGTGAGGACCAACATGCAAGCACCATGGTACACAGGCACACAAACACACAGACACACACACAATGTATACATACTTATGCATTGTATACACACACAAAATTGTTAAACAGTTTTAGAAACAAAGGAAGGCATGGGGTAGGAGGGAAAGCATGTGACTTAGGAAGCTGCAGCAAATGTGTTAAAGGATGATTGACAGGAAAGGGCATCTGAGCCCAGCCCTCAAGGATTCCGATGTTTCCTGGTGAAGGGAAGGGCATCCAGGAAGAAGGAGCCATGTGCAAGGGCTCTCATGGGACCAGGGAACTGCTGCCACGCTGACTCTGTCCAGAATAGGGCATTGGGTAAAATACTGGAACATAAGTCAAGAAGAATGGTTTGGTTGTGACTACTTAAAATAGATGAATTGTTCCTGGAATTTTCCCATATAACCCAAACAAACTGCATTTGACCATGAGTAACTGAAACTGTAGAAGGCAGGAGTAATAGATAAGGCAGAGACGTCCTGTTGTGGAAGTGTGTCATGTGTGAGAGAGGTTGACATCTGTCTCTCGAGTCTGGGGGACAGCAAGTCCTTGGCATCATCTGGAAGTATCTGCAGAACCCGCAGGGGCTCCACTCATGCCCTCCTTCTGTCTCACAGTGCTCAGCCGAGTGTGGGGCTGGCATGAGGACTCGCACAGTGGTGTGCATGACCAACCACGTCAGCAGCCTGCCTCTGGAAGGCTGCGGGAACAACAGGCCAGCAGAGACTACACCGTGTGACAATGGGCCCTGCACAGGCAAGGTGGAGTGGTTCTCCGGCAGCTGGAGTCAGGTGAGTGGCCAGAGCTGGGTACATCTCTGTAACCCCGAAGTCAGGGGAGCCACAGATTTGGGTCCATCTGTCTGCCCCTGGCAAGAGACAACATAGCAGAGGGATTAGAAACAGCTTTAAATCTGACTGAGCTACTCGCTGCTGCCGTGACCCGGAAAAGCTGCCGTGTTCTTGGTGCCTTATTCAGCCAACAGGTGCACCTACTGCGTGCTCACCTAAGCACCTTGTTCAGCCTACAGGTACACCCACTATGTGCTCGCCTAAGCGCCTTGTTCGGCTAACAAGATCCGCTGTGCTCCTACTGTGTGCTCACTTAAGCACTTGAGCTACATCTGTGAGTAGTCCAGTGCCCGCCATACAGTAGGTGCAGCCGGTGGCCACCACTGCCGCAGGTGGCTGTCGCTGCCACATCGCTACCGTGACTGAAGCTGGTTTGTCAGTACTTGACAATGTCAGAAGCTTCCCTTTAAAAATCTGGAGACTGGGCCACCGAGAGATAGCTGGGCAGGGAAAGCTCCTGTTGCACCGCCATGAGGACCTGTGCTCAGACTCCCCAGAACCATGTGAAAGCCGGACACGGTAGCACTCACCTGCAATCCCAGTACCTCTCTGTTGAGATAGGCGACAGAGACAGAGGAATCCCCAGAGCCTTGCAGGCAGCCAGCCTGGACTACCCAGAGTGAACAGCAAGATACCCTGCCTCAAAGTAGAATGTGAGGACCAACGTGCAAGCTTGGTGTGACCTCCACATACGCACCATGGTCCATGTTTGCCTGCACACGTACACATACATCATACACACTGAGGTTTTTTTGTTTGTTTGTTTGTTTTTGAGCTGGAAGTGTACATTATAAAGAGCAAATAATAAAGAAACTAAACTAACTTACAGATTGATGAGCTAGTTTTCCTTCCCTGTTCCAACACTGACCGTGAACCCCTGAGGAGTATAGAGAGCCGCCCCTCTGACTGCCCTGTCACAGCCCGTACTCACCCTCCCCGGCACCACCCTGGATTTGAGTTCTCAGCCCACTTAGCACCTGGCTCCCGGGGCTGGCTGATTCTCCAAGGCCTCTTTGGCTGAAGGTCATGATTTACACATTATCCAGACTCTAGCTCCATAGAGAATTTTTTTAAGTAGCTTTAAAAACAGACCTTGGTCAAATTGGCTGCCTTTCCCTGTAACTGATACAGGCCCTTTGGAGAGCAAGTTGGCAGCAAAGGGCAGGAGGCAGAAGGTGCCCGTTTGTCTCTCCTCAGTCGTCCCACCGTGGGGGTCAGTGTTAAGGAAGTAGTCACCAGCTGGGCATGGTGGCACGTACCTTTAGTCCTGGCACTCTGAGGCAGAGGCAGGCCGATCTCTGTGAGTTCAAGGACAGCCCGGTTGACATAGCAAGTTCCTGGAGAACCAGGACTACATATTGTCTTATAATAAAATTTTAAAAAAGCAATTATCCAAAGAAAAAATACTTCAACAGGAATGCTCGTGACATTAGGATGTTATCATTTGTCATTACCCAGGAAAATATCACATAACCATAGCAACAACAGGGATGAGGAGACCCACCTGTAACCATAACAACAGTCAAGCAAGGATGGTGAGACCTACCTGTAATCACAGCACTCGAGGGTCTAAGGCGGGAAGATAGAGAATTCAAGGCCAGCCTAATCTATACATGATACTGTCTCAAAATAAAAAAAATGGTCATTAGGGTGTCCTAGGTGCACTTAATACAGTAGCCAATGGGAGAATATGAAAATGTAAAAATGGGGCTGGAGGGATATTTAGGAGAGGACTCATCAGTCAAAAGCACTGTTGTTCTTGCCAAGAGCTGAGTTCAGTTTCTTGTACACACATGGTGGATCACAACCATCATTCATCATTAACTCCAGTTCCAGGATCTGGTACCCTCATCTGGTTCTGTGAGTATCAGGCATTCATGTGGTACACATACATACATGCAGGTAAAACCCACATACACATAAATTAATACATGTATATCTGTGTATATATAGTCATATTCAGTTGGTAGAGAATTTGCCTAACATGCATGAAGCCCGAGGTTCAATCCTCAGCACTACACAAAATCAGACATGCTGTGGATGCCTGTATCCCAGGACTTGGGAAGTAGAGGCAGAAGGATCAGAAGTTCAAGATCATCCTTGGCTACATGTGTAGTTCGAAGCCAGCCTGAACTACATAACAGCCTATCTTGAAACGTGTGTGTGTGTACATATATATACACTTTGTAATGAATTGTTTTTATGGAGACAACATGGGAAAATGTTTTCTTTGATTTCCTTTAATGTTTTGATTGATAAAATCTATTAAATTCAGAAGATTCAGAGAGAATGGGTTGAAGTATTTCCAGTGCTAGTGTCGTGAGCGTCCCTGTCGGATGCCTGTGTAGCTGAACTCAGCTCCAGTCTCGTGGGATTCCTGACTTGGTGAGGTTTTCACCTCCCTGGGTCTGTTTCCTTGTCTTAAGACACAGAGGACAATGGCGCTCTCCTTGGGCTGTCAGGAGGGAGCCTACTTTTCCTGTAGCTGTAATAAACACTCTGCCCAAAACCAACCTGGGGAGGAGAGGGTTCCTTTCATCCATGCTTCTGGGTCACAGGCCACCATTGAAGGAAGTGGGGCATGGGCTCAAGCAGTAACTGAAGTAGAAACCTCAGAGGCCAGCTCTTTACTGGCTCCCTCAGATGCAGTCAGCTACCTTCTTAGTCCAGGGCCACCTGCCTAGAGATAGCACCTCCCACAGTGGGCTGGGCCCTCCTACATCAACTAAACTCAAGAAAATGCCCACGGGCCAATCTGATGGAGTTGTGCCAAGTTGACAGTCAAGGTTGGCTGTCACAGAGAGCTTAGGAATCAGGTCACACAAGGGCTGGCAGTGGGGAAGCACTTGGTCAAAATTAGATCTCTTCTCTCTGTGCTTATTGCTTTTACCTGGCAGGCGTGCCATGCCTTTGTCCCTAACCATGTGCCAAGAAGCCATGCTTATGGCCCGCATTCACCTAGCAGACATGGGACAGTAAACTGGATTGGAGCGGGTCTGCCAGCGTGTGTGACCCAAGGTTGTTCCTAAGTCCAGATCCCAACTGATCACCAGCTACAGCACTGCCCCCTGGGAAGACACTCAGCAGTGTAGTGGAAGACAGTGGGTGCTCCAGAGGGTGCCATGAGTGGTGGGACCGCTGTCTCCCCTGCAGACACCACCATCACTGCCCCCCAGGTCACTGTCACTCACAGGCAAAAGTGGATCCTTCCTTGGGTTGTCACTCCATGTCCTTGAGAACCCACTGGGGCCTGGGGCCTAGGTCCTGGCCCATCTTCTCTGACTCTTGCTGCTGCTGTGGTCCCAGAGACAGAGCAGCAATGCGAGTCAGGTATCAGTTGTACTGAGACGTTGTCCCAGCGCTGATACAGACCTATAGCAGTGTCTCCTCCTCATCTCTCTCCATTTTATTTTTTTAGACAAGTTCTCTCTCTAATCCTACAGCTCACTAGTTGTCTAACCTAGCTGACCAGCAAGACTCCAGGATTCTCCGTGTCTCTGCCTCCCAACACGCATTAAAGCATTAAAAGTCACTCCTGGCCTTTCCGTGGGTGCTGGGGATCTGAACTCGTGTCTTCTCAGTTGGGCAGCAAACATTTTACCCACTGAACTGTCCCTCCAGCCCCTATATTCCTCATCAGCAATGGACTTTACCAGGTCTGCGCCAACTTCTCTTCTTGTGTCCCCTGTCTTGCTCTTTTTCATGTGCCTCGGTGGAAGGATTGAGGACGTCCCTCCAGGAGCGTGGTTTTCTCCCCCTTTGCATGATTTGACATCCGTCTGTCTCTGCTTCTTCTCCAGTGTTCCGTTGAGTGTGGCAGTGGGACACAGCAGAGGGAGGTGATCTGTGTTAGGAAGAATGCAGACATCTTTGAAGTGCTAGACCCTTATGAGTGTTCATTCCTGGAGAAGCCTCCGAGCCAGCAGGCCTGCCACCTTAAGCCTTGTGGAGCTAAATGGTTTAGCACAGAATGGAGCATGGTAAGTCACCGTCATCCAGAGATGACTCCAGGCAGGGTCCCGGGCCCAACCCGAGAAGAGATGCTAGATCCCCTGTGGCATCTACTCTAGAAAGTCACAATGAGGGGTCCCTGTTCAGTTGGGGATCCCCGAAGCTTGCAGATTTGGGTTTCTACAGAGATGTGTTCATAATGCATGTGATTCTTGAGCTTTGGGGTGTATCTGTCGGTCTTGCTAGAAAAGACCAGTTCTGGACCCCTCCTGGCTAAGAAATGTGTGTGTGTGTTTAACAAGCAGGATGCACTTTGGGCTGCAGTTTGACAAACATTGCTGCAGAAAATAGTGGTTGAAGGCACTCAAAGAGAATGTTAAATGTACTACACTGTAAGCTAGCCCAGCAGCAAGGCCTGCAACCCACCCCTGGGGAGGTGGAGACAGGAGGATCCCCAGGACTCACAGTCAGCCAGGCTAGCTGAACAATGAGCTTCAAACTCAGTGAGAGATCCTGTCTCAAAAGTAAAGTGGAGAGCTAGGAACAGTGGTGGCACATGCCTTTGATCCCAGCACTTGGGAGGCAAACTCTGTGAGTTCAAGGACAGCCTGGTCTATATAGTGAATTCCAGGCCAGCCAAGGCTACACAGTGAGACCCTGTCTTGAAGAAAATTTGTTGTAATTTTTAAAAGTTAAAAATAAGCAAGCATAAGACAATGGAAGGGGGACCTGTGGGTTTAGATTTAGAATCATAAAAATATCAGTTAACTTCCAAGTATGACTGAGATGTGGATCCTGAGATTTTTATTATTGTTATTTTAAAATTTTTTGATTATTTTAATCTCATGTATATGAGTGTTTTGCCTCCATGTATGTCTGAGGACCACCTGTATGTAGCACCCACAGCAGAGGCCATCAGATCTCCTGGGACCGGAGTTACCAGTGTTTGTGAGCTGCCATGTGGGTGCTGGGAACTGAACGCAGGTCCTCTGGAAGAACAGCCAGTGCTCTTAACCCCTGAGCCATCTCTCCAGCAGCACCACCACCGCCCGGCCAGAAATCTGTTTTTAAAATAGATAAAATTCACCAAGATTTTTTAAAATGGGACTAGAATCACTAAATATATAGATTTGAAAATAATAAGATGCATCTGTGGGATGTGTTCCAGGCTCCTTTTTTGGAGCCATAAATTAGAATATTATGGGCGTTGTGACAGGAGTCCAGAATTCCCTCAGAACACCTCAAGGAGTGGGCGTGGGAGGGAGACAGATAGGGCAAGGAGTCCGACCTGCTGGGTTCTGAAACTGGTCAGCCAGCTTGCAGGGGTGTGTTTTAGTGCTCAATTTCCCTTTTTGGAGATGCTTGCATTTCCCCCTGATATTCCACTCTGGCGTGACGATTCAACAGCCTGCTGAGAAACTGATATTGTCCCTCTTTTTGCCACACAGTGCTCCAAGAGCTGTCAGGGCGGATTCCGGGTCCGGGAAGTGCGGTGTCTGTCAGATGACATGACCCCCGGTAGCCTCTGCGACCCCCAGTTGAAACCAGAAGAGAGAGAATCCTGTAACCCTCAGGACTGTGTCCCTGAAGTTGGTGAGTTTGGGGTTCCCATCTGGGAGAAAAGAGAAAGAGGCCCCCTCTAGCTCTATCAAGTTATCCAGTGTAAAAATGGCTTAGCCAGTTCTTTCTGTGACCTTGTGCACAGCCATGGCGGAGGTCCTGGGGTACTTGGGATATTAATAATTTCACACTACAACCCACTGGGATTTCCTCGGAGTTTCATAATGCGAGCTCTTGGCCTTGACATTTTAGCAGCTTTATCTTTGGCAGAGTCATTTTGAGACACATCAGAGGTCATCAAAGTTTTGTTTATATACTCCATTTTGTTAATCTTATAATTTCCTTTTCTCCCCCATTATTGGGTTTTATATTGGAAGTGATATACACCTGCCCCCTTGGAAAGATACCATAGCTAAATCTAGAAGACCAAACCAGAGCGGTTTTTGAAGAAAAATCAGCTGGGACTCAGTGTCAGAAAGCTTGCCTGCCACGCATAAAGCCCTGGGCTCGATCCCAGCACCACAGAAACCAGGTGTGGTGGCAATACCTGTGGTTCCAGTCCTCCAGGGTAGAGGCAGGGGAATCAGAAGATCAGGGTCATCATCTCCTGCTACCAAGTTCAAGGCACACATAAAACCCTGTTTCAGTCGGGAGGCAGAGGCAGGTGGATCTCTGTGAGTTCAAGACCAGCCTGGTCTACAAGAGCTAGTTCCAGGACAGGCTCCAAAGCCACAGAGAAACCCTGTCTTGAAAAACAAAAACAAACAAACAAACAAAAAAACCCTGTTTCAGAAACAAAACCCCTCTCATATCTTGTCAGTGAGAGACCTTTGACATGCATGTTCTGACTGAGATATGGGCTACATTCATGTCCTGGCTGAGATGCGGGCTACACACACGGACTGGTTATGGCAGCCATGCCTTGCCTTGAAACCTACACAGTCCATTCCAAGGATATGGCCGTATTCACCGTCTTTAATTACCCATGTGTGTGCCTGACACAACTTTCCTTTTTGATATTGTATTTTGTAAAAATCAATGCAAGGAACATTGATGATCCGAATTTAAATCACTTCAAGTATGTGGTGTTGCCAAGGCCAACAGATAAATAGCTTGGGTACATGGCCCAGCCAAGGATCTATCCAGATTTCTTCTGAGCCCTCCTGCCTGCAGTCCTCTCTACTGATCATAACTCACTTTCCTAAGATGTGCTTCAAGTGTTTTCCCACATCTCGCATTCCGTTTTTCTGTATTTACTTTAAGGCAGAGCCTCTCTGGCCTGTGCCTGGCTGTGTAGGCTAGGCTGGCCATCCAGCAGACTTCCGAGATCCACATGGCTCATCCTCCCGGCACAGGGATTACAGGCATGCACTACATACCCAGTTCTTCCATGTGAGTCCTGGGTATTAAACCCAGGTCCTCAGGTTTGCACAGTAACCACCAGCTCCTCAGCACTCAAGTGATGGTAATCAAAATCCATACAGGATTTTTTTAATTGGATATATCGAATATGGGTTGGATATATCAAATTATTTATAAGGAAAAATTTCTTAAGCAAAAACCCCAGAGCACAAACCACAAGGGAAATACTAGAATTCCAATAACGTTAAAATGTCAAGTGTCTGCTTATCGCGTGACCTCATAAGCAAAGCGCTAGGAAGAGCTATGAGCCAGAGAAGATACTTGCAACACAGGAACCAATAAAGATTTGGACCCACTGCATAGAAAGACCTTTCTGAGTCCAAAAGCAAAAAGAGAGCTGCCCCCAGCAAAGGGACCCTGAGCGGCAACACCACTGCAGTGTGCTCCACCTCTCCCCGGGATTCTAGACAGAAGAAAATACAGGACGGGGCCAGGACAGTTCTGCTGATCCGGGGGTGCAATTCTGAATGTAGGGTGCTTGCCTAACATGCACAGCATCCTGGGATTGATCTCCAGCACAGCATAAACCAGCTGTGGTGGCACACACCTGGGATCATCCCCAGACATTGGAGCCAGAGGCAGGAGGATCAGGAGGTCACTGTCACCCTCCAGTACTAGGGCCAGCTGAGGCTGCATGAGACCCCATCTTCTTCTCATCCCCCTGTCAAAAAAAAATGGAATTCTGCTGTTCTGCCAAGAGAACTACAAATAGCTTCACATAGTTTGGAAGGCAGCCATCACATCTAGTAAGACTGTATGTGTCTTAAAACCCGGAAAGAAGACTTTCAAAAATGCTTAAACGATCATTATTTATAATTGGAAAAAATGGAAACAATGTCTATCAATGGATAAAAAATATTTACATGGATACATCCTCCCCAGTAATAAAAATGAACGCACAAATTCACTGTCAAACAAGTGGCCAGGAACTATGTGTAAAGTCTACAGTTTCTAGAGGCCACACAGCAGCTAAGGACACCGTCGCGCACAGCTCAAGTATGAGGAAAGGTTCGGAAGCTGGGGATGTGGCTCCGTGGGGAAATGCCTGCTGCACAAGCGTGAGGACCAGAGTTCAGATCCCCAGCGCCTACATGAGTGCTGGGTGCAGTGGCACGTGCCTGTCACCCCAGCTCTGGTGAAGTAGAGATGGAAGGCTCCCTGAGGCCTGCTGGCCACCCTGTCTAGCCAGTCGGTGAGGTCCTGGCTCAATGACCAGATCACTAGGTGAAGACCATACCCATGAATAGCCAAGGAACTGCACGTGGGTGTTCTTGGTGGCTGGGGAAGGTGCTGTAGCTACTGTAAATTGCCTGTGCTCTGGCAAATAACCCCACACCGATGCCCACGCAAGCAGCACCAGTTAAACTTATTTTAACAAGACTTAAAAATGGGCCAATTTCAGGTACTCTCCATGACCATTTTCTACTTTCTCCTTACAATTTATGGGGAAAACCCTCAAAACCAGCGTTCACCATCCCGCTGCCACTCTTCATCATGATTGCTACTTTATTATCATTTGTTTGAGACAGCATCTCAGTCTGCTGCCCTAGCTGGCCTCGAACTCCTGGTCCTCCTGCTTCAGCCTCCCAAGTGCAGGGATTACAGACATGCCCACTGTCCTTGGATATTCTTGAACACATATTCCATCTCTCTTTCTCTCTCTGAAGGGAAGCAAAAATCATCAGATATCTTCTTCAGTTGCTCTTCAACTTATTTTTCCTTTATTATTTTTTGACAAGCTCATATACATGTGCATTATGTGGGGGTCACATTTTCACCTCCTCATCATCCCCTCTCACCCCTTTCCCACTTCTGCTGAGCCCTAACAAGTCCCCTCCTGGACATCCCTGACATCCTACTCTGGTCTCCGCATGTGCTCACTCAAGGCTCCCAGACACATAGGACCCAGAGGAAGCTCTGTGCCCCCCCACACACACACGCCCTTTCTCTTCTCTTCCCACTGGTCCTGGCTGCCTCTAGGGCTCAGGAGTTTCTTCTGTTCTCTTCCACCATAGATGAAAACTGCAAGGACAAGTACTACAACTGCAATGTGGTGGTCCAGGCGCGTCTCTGTGTCTACAACTACTACAAGACCGCCTGCTGTGCCTCCTGCACCCGCGTGGCCAACAGGCACACAGGCTTCCTGGGAAGTCGATAACGCTCCTGCTCCCCCGCGGCTGCAAGCAGTGCACCTGGCTGGCTGGTGCTCCGCCAGGGACCCCCACTCTCACCTTCATAAAGTGTACCACCTGGTACCCAGGATGCTAGAACGCCCTTTGAGCATCACTCTGTCCTGATGACGCCCTTCCTTAGGAACTGGCACCTGCTAATGGGGCCTACTGAAAACCAAGCAGTCACATGCATGCGGCTCTCATCCCAACTTCAGGCTTGCTGTCGTCCAGGTCAGCCACTGGACCACTGACCCGGCACAGCCTCCTTCCTGGTGCTACTGGCCTGTCCAGAATTAGCACCCCTTTGGAAAGTCAAGAGAGGAGAGCACCCCATCCTACGTCACCAACAAACCTTACTGAGACCTGTGCATCCCTGTTACCTCAGCCAGCCGTGCCTGTCACCATTCTTAAGGACAATAGACTGTTTCCCACCTCAGGACAGAGGTATCCCACAGCAGAGTGCTCTCTTGTTTAGCAGGTACATACATTCTCAGACCTTAGCTCACTGGAGGCCATAGTGTCCCAGAACGGGAAGCAGGGGTTGAATAAGTGCTCCTACTTGACAAGGAATGAGGCTCAACTCAGATAACTGAGCTGGCCATTTTGTGCCAAGGCTGAGTGCCTACCTCAGATGCCTGAGCATAACCTCACCCCACAGCGCCTCCAGTGGCCAACCTGGGGCCTGTCCACTGGCCTTATAGTCTGAAGAATGACCGGGGCTTCCTATCGGACCAGGGGTCAAGTTGTATTTTATGAATGGAGCCCAAGCTTCTGAAGCCCTTCCTCTTCCCCCAAGTGCTCTGTCCCCAAGTGCTGCCTCACCCGAGTATTTAGTCCTTTGAAGATGTCTGCACCCCTGTTCCCCTTCCCTAGGTCGCAGCTCCTGCTGACAGGACTCTGTGGTGTTTGCTAAGTTCCATCCTCAACAGAACTTTCCCACAAGACAAAAAAAAGCCACAGGGAGAGCAAGAATGTGGCCAGGGGTTTTCTGGGGCACTCTGGAGCTGGAACAAATTCCCAAATCCCACAAGCTTTAGTTCCGCCCTCTCTCCTGGGTTCTCTGTGGCCTACCCCCTGCTGGAAAGCCAAGCCAATAGTCCCAGGAAATCTCCACGTTGCAATAGGAGGAGTCTGATTTGGGCCTTGTGGGTTGATTAAAGGGTTTCTTGCTGGTAGTCTCACATCCTCCCTACTCTCCCTCTCCCCTCCTCTCCCCTCCCCTCCCCTCTTCCCCTGTGACTCATGACTCTTACTTCCCACAAGACTTGACCATCAAGATCAGTTTTAATGATGCGGGTCTTGGAGAAGGAACTCTGAAATCCTTCCCACCTTCACTGACACACTTTAGCTGACTGTAATTCCAGAGGCCCCAGGCCTGAAGGGACTCAGTGCATATTGAAAGGTGAACCATCTCTGGAGATTGGGGGAGACAATTAAGAGGAACATTCTTTTCTTAAAACTTGCAAAATTACAGAAATTGTCTTGTTTCGGGTCCTGGGCATGTTTCTCTTAAAGCGGGTACGTACCTTATCACAGGGTCTCTCCATGCGCTCATTACCCGCCCCAGCCAGCGTGGCAATCACTCCCAGCCATGGGGCTAATGTCGCCTGTCTGGTCTGACACACTCTGTCAGGATCACTGACTTTGGCTTTCTGTGAGTATCTCCAGCATCTCTCTCTGCTTGGGAAGCTGGGCACTGAGTCCTTCCGCAGCTCCGCCTCTCCTCGTGTTCCTATGGCATGTAGACACACAGCCCGGCAGAGACTGTGCCAACCATGCTAAATACCAGGAGAAGCCGTTGCACACACAGTTTCTGTCCAGTTTCCTCCCTGTTTCTCTCACTGCATGCTTTCGCCTGTCCCAGGAACCTTTCCTTCATACAGCCATTGTCACCTTGCTGGACAAGCCAGTCACCTGAAGAATTCACTGGAAGGTGTTCGTGTGCATGCCAGAGGGTAAGGCCTGAAAGATCTGTTGGTTAAAGCAAAGCCTGACATTAGCTCCCAGGAAGGAAAATGTACTAGCATCTGAAGCCACCCAGTGTCAGGCTAACAGGGAATAAAGGCCTTCTCTGTGGAGAGTGGACCTCTTGGTCCTTCCAGCTCGCAAATTCTCAGGGCTGGGCTGGGTTGACAATGGCTTTGTCTATCCTGTGTCTCAGACATCACCTCAGAGTTCTTCTAGGAAGGACAGTGATCCCCCTGTAGAGTGGGGGGGGGGGATCAGAGCAAAGGGGGCAGGCCCTGTCTTCAGGCAAAGAAAAGAAACACCTCTCCTGAGTTCAGAGGAATTTTCCAGAAAAATGAGCTGTCCTCGGGAGGTCAGTCCCCTTTAAAAAGTCATGCATTTCTAGAATGGGGTTGATAAACCTCTTTGTTGTAGAAGGCCAATCTTGCCACTATGTCCTGGTTTCTTCCATCGTCTGCATGGCTTTCACCCTTCCGTAGTGTGTGCAGCAGGGCCCTGGGGATCCCCCGTGATCACCAGGGAGGGGACACCAGTGCCTGCAGATGATCCTTTATCTGCCATCCCCTTCTCTTCATTGACTGTGACGTGGACTTGAAACATATTACAACACTGATTTCCTGCCCTCAGCCCCATGTGCCAGAGGCCACATCCCTAGCTCTGAGTGAAAAACTAGGTAAATTAAAGCTTCTGTGTAGTCTTTCTCAACAAAAATCAGCAAAGCCCCAAGTTAAAAGTCTGTGCTGATTGTCTTCCACTCACTGGAAGAAGAACCTTCCTTGCAGCCCCTGTGTAATCTATTTCGGTTCACCTTCCAGGGACTGCAGGAAATATGCTACCCGACCACTAGAGGGAGCAGTCCTCTGCTCGTAAACCATGCTCACCCTATTAAGAAGCCAGAGGATCTCTCAGCATCTCTCAGTGGCTCAGGGAGGGAGTTCTCATAACTGCCCCCAGCTGCTCCTTTGCATTACTTCTTCTCAGCCCAGGATTTCTGTGTTTTTCTTTCTGCCTTGCTTTTAGTACGCTCCAGCTGTTTGTTCTCTAAGCGTTTACACCCAACACTCTCTCTGTAAAGGTAGATTTCTAGAGGGCTGGAAAATGGAAGAGGCTCGCTCAACTTGTTGTGTGGTGTGAAGAACTCTAGATATTGCTAACACCTGCCCAAGATAGTCTCCTCATCTTATTAATAACTGTCTTAGAGTTGGCATATTAGTTTTCCCATGTGAGGAACAAAATGAAAGACTACATTGCAACAGGGTGATGATCTGCCAGCCCTGCAGGGGGAGACCAGCGTCTGATCCTTGACAGATGAACATTGTGTGTGTAGCCTGGTTGTCTTAGCAGAAGACTGGCCGATGCCCTGGCCATGGAGAGCCAAGAGCCAGAGCAAGAAGAGTCTAAAAGATTTATAAAGGAAATTAAAAAATAAAATAAAATAAAAAGTAAAGAGAAAGCCCAGACCTCAACAGTTCCCTGGAAAGCGGCTAAAGTCCTACCTTTGGATTAAAAGAATAACTGCTCAGTCGAAAAATGGCAGAAAGGGAAGAATTTCAGCTAAGATCAATGTGAGTCAGGAAAGTGGGGAGGAAGCACCAAGATATAACTGACCCCGGGACTAGCAAGTTAGCGCAATTGACAAAGTGCTGGGACAAAGACTGAGCCCAGGTCTCAGAACCCATATGCAAAAAGCCAGGTGTGATGGACTCACTTGTAATCCCAGCATGGGAGAGGCAGAGACAGGTGGATCCCTGGGGCTCAGCAGCTAGCCAGCCCAACCTACTGGGCAAGCTCCAGGCCAGTGAGAGACCGTGTCTCAAAAAACATTGTGGGTGACACCTGAAGCCCAACAGTTGATGCCCTCTGACCTCCACATGCACACACATACATGTATCTATATATGCCATGCCACTAGCCACCAAGGCCACAGAGGAAACATAGATAGGAGTCATGGTCCCTGTGTCTGTAGGAAGACTACCGCTCCTATGTAACATTCAGTTGTGGTTTTCAATCCTGACAAAGAGGACAGACTCTTAGAGACAGTGTGGTGGACTTCTGAGGTGTGACATCGCAGAAGAGACACCACAAGAACCCTCAGTGGAACAAAATAGCAAACTTCTGCAAGCTGATGTAGATCTACGGAGGCGAGGCTGTTGGGAACAGTCACCCCTTAGGGGTGGAGGCTGAGACAGGACAAGTGTCAGGATGTGGGAAGGTATCCAGATATCTTTCTCGGCAACTTGCTGCTCAAGGTCACCTCCAAGTCCAGGGTTTCGTGGCTCTCCAAGTGGCACAGCTCTGGGTGGCGCACCTGCTTAAAGACAGCAAGTGACAGCTGCTACCACCTTGTCACCATCTGAAACCCATTTGTCCCCTTCCTGTGAACAGCATGTGACCTCCTATGGCAGCCACTGGCAACCTAGTCAGAGCCATCTCCACGTCTGCTTCACAAAGGGGCACGGGGACATGGGGGTCAGCTAACTGCCTACCTGAGGTCATGTACCTCTATGGAGGCCGCTTTGACTAGTCTGGGCCACTCACTGCCAGTCTCTTTTGTAAAAACATCTTTCCTTGCTGACAAAGAGTAACCCTCAACCCCAAACCATCCTTTATGTCTGGATCCTTGTTCTGGTGGGATACCCATCATGTTGTGGATGGGTAACCCCAAGAATGTGGAAGCTCCCCGCCTCCTGAGAGGATGAGCCCCTGGCCTGAGTGAGAGACAAATCCATTCTGTCACACCCACTAACTCTCCCCTTCCTGCTCCCCAGCCCCCCAACATCCACCCGACAGGATATACTTTGCTATAACTTATTATTATGTTCTCTGTAAATACAAGATGTTTATAGGAAAAGTGTATTCTGAACTATATCTGCAGAGTGGCTCGTGACACCAAAGTAGTTCTGTTTATTTAGAATATGTTCATTGTTAAAGGGACCCAATAGGTATTTATTTACATATGCCATCCATATTTTCATAAAATCATTTGATCATACTAACCCAGCCTCCTGGTATATGGCTGCACCACAGTGTCTTATTCTATCTAAGTCAATCCTGATAGTCATTTAGTACAGTGATTGGCCAAACTTTTGGAAGTTTAAGATCAGATATAACTGACCCTGCTTTTGACATATTCAGGGGTTCCTCCGCCAGTATTGTGCCTAAGATTGCCACCTTTCTGTCTTAAATATTCTGTTTTTTTTTTTTTTTTCATATAATCTGCCCTTTCCTCACACCCAAACACTCGGAGAAGGGCAGGCGGCTTGTGTTTCTCTTTCCTTCTCAGTGTGGCCCCCTATTAGCTTCACCGGCCTCATGCCTCAGGTCAGAGCTGTGGACAACCTGGGCTGAAGGGGCTGTGAGAGGCTTGGGGACTTGTGGCAGCCTCTCAGCTCTGATGACAACCCCAGGGTCCCTGTTGGGGGCTCCTGGGGCCAGGGCCTCAAGGCTAACCTGTGGACTGCAGAGCCGGGAGCGAGAAGCCCACTGGGGAACTGAGGACACCACCAGTCTGTGTCTCCTTTACAGTGTTAAATTATTATGGAAGGAGGAGACGAGCAGAAGGTGAATTATATGAGCAAATGTGGGCTGTTTTCAGCACTATTTTGTGTACAACTAATTTATTTTTATTGTAAAAAACACAATAAACTGGGTAAATAGTTAACATCTTTGTGTTCTTGTTTCAGTCACTGTTCCATTGCTGTGAAGAGACACTGCGACCCAGGCAACTCTTAGAAAGGAAAACACTGAGTTGGGGACTTGCTTGTTGTTTTAGAGGCTTAGTACTGTATTATCATGACGGCAGGCGTGGCGCTGGAACAGTAGCTGAGAGTTTTACCTCCTGATCTGAAGGAAGAGGGGAGGCGAGAGGGGACAGGGAGAGAGGGAGAAAAATAGAGAGAGACTTACTGGGCCTGGCTTGGGCCTTTGAAATCTCAAAGCCCGCCCCCAGTGACACACCTCCTCCGACAAGGCCACACCTCCTGATCCTTCTCAGACAGTGCCAGTCCTTGCTGACTAAGCATTCAAATGCATGCGTCTGTGGGGCCATTCTTATTCACACCACCACATTGATATTGTTCACACCTGTGTGCTGCTGACCTCAGGTAAAGCACTGAGACACCAGAGCAGTACCACTCAAGTCTAACTTGGTGATCCAGCGAGATTCCTATAGAGCACGGGCAACCTATGAGTGGTTACGCCACTGGAGAAAATGGCTCTGATCACCAGCAATGGCTGTCTCTCCCCAGCCGGGGAACTTGGTGAGCACTTCCTGCTCCAGGACAGATGCTAATGGGAACAATCTTGTGTAGAGCTCCCATGGATAATCACCACTTCCTTGACTCCCCCCAAAAGAAGAATGAGCCCTGTTGGGGGCCTTGGTAGATTAGGTCCTTTTCTGTCACTGAGGCAATGAATGCTATGACCAAGGCTGGCCAAGAGCAGATTTGGGGTGTATGGTTCCAGAGGGCTAAGAGTCCATCATGACAAGGCAGCAAGCCACAGGCATGGTGGCAGGAGAAGGAAGCTGAGGGACCACAGCTTTAACTGCAAGCAGGAAGCAGAGAAAATAAACTGGAAATAGTGAGGGGCTTTAAATTCTCAAAGCCCGCCTCCAATGACGTACTTCCTCCGGCGGGGCCACACCTCCAAAAGGGCACCAAGCACTGAGAACAAAGCGATTAAATGGGAATGGGGCATTCTCATCCCAGCTGCCACCATTGGTGTCTCAGACCTTTGCCTCGGGTACCATTTGGGAGAAAGCCAATCCGAGAACCCAATCCGCAAGCCTCGCATAAAGGAGCCTCTGACTCCAGGTTTCTACAGGACATTTCCTTGGCAGTGAGAGTAGAGATGGGAACAGAGGAAATAGGTGTGGACCATCTATCTGCCAGGACTGCGATCTTTCCGTAACCTCCCCCAAAGTGGTTACACTCCAGAAAAGCTGTGAGTGGAACCCCAGCTCCCCTTGAGCTGGCTTCACCTCGCTCTCTACTTGACAAAATTATTCCAGTCATCTTGATTCCTGATGAAACAGACCATGACAACTGGCAACCGTCCTTGGCGAAGGCTGTTAGGAAGTACCCCGAGCTCCGTCCTGACTCTACCCCACTGCCACTTCATCGGTACCCCTTGGAAACTGATTTGTCTTAAGTTGCTACCTCCTTCCCCTTACATTCATCTTTGCCTGCTGGAAACTTCCCTTACACTTAATTCTCTTCCAAATTCACTTAATGTAAAATCCTTATGATGCTCACGTCAGGTACACTGCTAAGTGGTAACTTCAGCTTTCCTTGTGTGGCACAGTCTTTACACACAAACTTCATTTACTCTTCAGTCAGGACTCCACGAGACAACAGGCAGAACGCTGACACCACTCTTTTTCCTGATGCTAAGGCTCAAACCTGGGCCGTGGGCACAGCCGTGTGTGGCACGCGCTCTACACTGAGCTGTACGTCCAGACCGGAACACTCCGCCATCTTCCCCTCACCGCAAACCCAGTCCTGCAGATCGGAAGCTGCAGGATCTCCGTGCCACAGCCCTGTGCAGTCGGGGTCCTGTGCAAGATCACTGTTCCCTCAGACAGCACAAACCTCAAGACAGGAGCGTCAGAGCTTCCACCCCTCCCTTGGGGCCACATACACACACAACCACACACACCTGGCTTCTACAGAGAACAGCCTGTCTCGTGGGCTCTGCATTTTCTCACAGCTGAGATGGGTGAGGTCACACAGGTGGATTTCATGTTGGCTGTGTGTGGTACTGGGGCATCCACACCTCCTGGGCAAACTCTCTACATCGAGTCGCTCTCCAACCCTGCACCCCAGCCCTGCACTGCGTCTCTGCAGGTCTCCTCCCAGCCCCGGGATTGGGAAGCTGTGCTCTCCCGACGCATTCTCCGCCTGTTAGCAACTTCCCTTTAGCACTCAGAAGCTCCCTGATGTCTGGACACATCTTACTCTATTTTACAGTTGGGAGAGTCAGGTTCATCCAGGTCAGGATTCGTGGTCTCACAGGCTATGCCTGCCGAGACATCAAATCTAGGTCTGTCCAGCTTCAAAGCCTGTACTCCACCTGACTACCTGTTCCGGAAGAATCACGCAAATCTCCCTGTGGGCCTGAAATGAGGCCAGAACCCACTTCCTGCTACTGTTGATCATGGTGAATGCTGCTGGTAGTGGAAGCCTTGCTCAGACTGCCCGCTCTGGAAAGGTAAGAACCTAGGACAATGGGTGGCATCCTGCTATGACACCCCACCACCATCTGCTTCCAGGGAAAAGGCTTCAGTGAGCCACCTCTACCTCCAACTCCGTGTCATAGGTAGAGCCTAAAGTTGGTTTTCTACATCTGAGCATGGTGATATAGGCTTCAAGTCTGAACGTTTAGGAGGTGGGGGGGACACAGTTATGAGTTTAAGGTCATCCTTCAAGGTCATCCTCTGCTACACAGGGAGTTGAAGGCCTAAACCTGTTCAAAAAAAAGTTTCTAAGGCCAAGGTCACTTCTGTTTAGAGG